AACTATCATGGAGAGGCAATAGGAACCAACAAATCGTCAAATGTAAGCTTGATCGAGCTCTAGGGAATGAGGACTGGCATAATTTGTTCCCGTATTCTAAAGTGGATTATTTGGATATGATTGGATCTGATCATAGACCGATTTTGTTGAGTTGTGAAAAGTTTTGGAAGAAGAAAAAATGACAATTTAGTTTTTGATAAGCGATGGGTTGGAAAAGATGGCCTTTCTGAGGCAATAGATTCATGTTGGAATCGAACAAAATTTTTTAAAATACTTGTTTTTGTGGATAAAATAAAAAATTATAGAAATTCTATTTCTTGGTGGAGGAAAAATAATATCCCAACGGGTCAGGCAAATATTTCTTCTCTTAAAATGGCTTTAGAGGAAGCAAAGAACGATGATTCGATCCCGCAGGGGGAAATAAGAAGAATCGAAAGTAAATTAAAGGAAGCTTATCATGAGGAAGAGCTGTATTGGAAACAAAAAAGTAGGAATTTTTGGCTAGAGGTGGGAGATAAAAATACGAAATATTTTCATGCTTCTACAAAAAAAAAAGGGGAAGAAATAAGATTTCAAGTCTATATGGACCAAATGATATTTGGGAGGAATCAGAGGCAGGAATGGAGAATATAGCGACAAACTACTTTAAAGATCTTTTTAATGTATCTAATACAAATGGTATAGCCGAGGTGGTTCAGGAGGTGTCTCCAATTATTATGGAGAACATGAATAAGGAATTAACCAGAGATATTACAGAAGCAGAAGTTAGGAAAGCTTTATTTTCCATGCATCCGGAAATAACACCAGGTCCAGATGGAATGACAGCTTTGTTTTATCAACGGTTTTGGCATTCTTTAAAGGAAGATCTGGTTGTATTGGTTCGAGAATTTTTCCGGACAGGAAGTTTCGATAAAAGGATAAATGAAACAAATATTTGTTTAATTCCAAAGACGGAAAGGTCACAACGCATGACAGAATTTAGGCCGATTTGTCTGTGTAATGTGAGTTACAAGATTATATCTAAAATTCTGTGTTTGAGGACCACGGTTAATTTCGGAGACCAAATCGGCGTTCGTATCAGGTAGACTTATCACAGATAACATCATGCTGGCACAAGAAATGTTCCATGGTTTACGTACGAATCATTTGTGTAAAACATAATTTTTGGCTATTAAAACAGATATGAGTAAAGCATATGATCGGATAGAATGAGATTTTTTAGAGGCAGTTATGACGCGACTAGGATTTCACTCTAATTCGATTTCTTGGATCATGTGGAGTGTTAGTTCAGTTTCATATCAGGTTTTGTTGAATAGGCAACCTAGGGGAAATATTATACCCAAAAGAGGTTTACGGCAAGGTGACCCTCTATCACCCTATTTATTTATTTCATGCATGGAGGTGCGGATTGCTAATATCAAAAAAGCGGAACGAGAGAAAAAACTAACCGACATTAAGATAGCAAAAAGAAGTCCTATATCACATTTGGTTTTTGCGGATGATAGTCTTTTCTTCTGCAAAGCAGACACTGAGCAATGTAAAACGGTTATGGATATTATTGGAAATTATGGAAAAGCTTCAGGGAAAGAAATAAACTTCAGTAAATCTTCGGTTATATTTGGTAAGCGTGTAGAAAACCAAAAAAAAGAGCAACTAAAACATTTCCTTGGTATTACTAAGGAAGGTGGAATGGGTACCTATTTGGGTATACCAGAGAGCCTTGGGGGCTCAAAAAGTAAAATCTTTAACTATGTCCAGGAAAGACTTAATGAACGGATCAATGGTCGGTCAGCCAAGTATCTGTCAAAAGGTGGAAAAGAAACAATGATTAAGTCTGTTGCTTTGGCTCTTCCAACATATGTCATGTCTTGTTTTAAAATTCCTCAAGAGTTAACATCTAAGTTAACAAGTGCTATTTCAAAATATTGGTGGAGTTCCAACGAGAGAGATCCTGGGCTCCGTTGGTTAGCATGGGAGAACATGTGCAAGGATAAAGAAGAATGAGGTTTAGGATTTCACTCCCTTGATAAATTTAATGATACCATGTTGGCTAAACAGTATTGGCGATTAATCCAAAATCCGAATTCTTTAATAACCCGAGTGCTTAAAGGTAGATATTTTAGAAATATTCATCTTTTACAAGCAAAAAAAACCAAACTCTCCATCGTTTGGTTGGAAGAGTATTTTTGCAACAAAAAAACTGGTTGAAATGTGAGCAAGATGGAACCTAGGATCTGGTTTCAGTCTATCGCTATGGCGGGATCCTTGGATTCCAGATATTAATCCTCGTCCTGCTAAAGGCAGATGAAAAATACTCCATCCAAATCTGATGGTTAACCATTTAATTAATCTGGTATCTAAACAATGGCACCTACCTATTCTGCAAGAATTTATGGACCCGAAAGATATCCAAATCATTAGGGGTCTCCCTATAAGTCAAGTGTATAAGCTGGATAAGCTTATTTGGCATCACACAAACTCAGGAAGGCATACAGTAAAGTCAGGTTATCGACTTGCCCAAGCTATGACAGATTTGGTTGAGTGGGGTCCAAGTTGTAAAATGCTACAAGCACAAGCATGGAAAATCAAAGCTCCTCCAAAAATAAAACATTTTTTATGGCAAATAGTTTCGGGATCCTTGGCAGTTACTTCTAAGTTAGCTCATCGTGGGATACGATGCGATATTATCTGTCAACGGTGTGAGATGGCTGAGGAAACAATTAATCATACGCTCTTTGAGTGCCGACATTCTCGAAAGATATGGGAGTTATCCGAGATTCCTTTAGTAACATGGTGTTTTCCTCTAACTTCGGAATATTCAAACCTAGATTACCTTTAATGGAGGTTACCACCTCCTCCGGAGGGGAGGGATAAAAATTATTGTTATGCCTGGATTTTGTGGTTCATATGGAAAGATAGGAATAGAAAGGTTTTCAAGGGATTATAATCTGAACCCATAGATATCTTAAACCACGCTCTGAATGAAAAATTAATGTGGGAAGAAGCTCAATTGGATCCGATTGAATCTTGTGCATTTAGGGAAACTTTAGATGGTCCAATTCCAACGATTAGATGTCGGACTGACGGCTCATGGAAATGTTTGGATCCAACTATGGGGCTTGGTTGGTGGTGTTTTCAAGGAAATGATCATACAATACTGCTTGGTGCTAAGTGTCTTTGTAGGTGTCCCTCTCCCCTTCACTCGGAGTTGGAAGCTTTAATTTGGGCTATGGAAACTATCCTTTCAAGAAGGATTGATTGTCAAGCGTTTGAAACAGATTATTTAGAGTTAATCTCGATGGTTCAGTCCCCTGAAGAATGGCCTGCTTTCTCCAATCTGCTAGATGATTTTAGTTTGCTCCGTGCTTCTTTTCCTCTTTTCTCTCTTTCTTCTATTTCACGTTTATGTAATTCTAAGGCGGATTGTTTAGCTCGATCTTCTAGACTTCTACTTTCGGAAGTTACTTTTGTAAACTCTTCTCCTCCTGATTGGGCAAACTATTCATTGAGTGACTTTTTAATTAATGTGTGGTTGACAAAAAAAAAAAAACTAAAGGTTAAAATGGTTCATAAAATAAACCAAAAGTTGCAATAACCAGTCATAAAAGGTCATAAAAACGAGGGTTCATGATCCAGTTAAATTAGTAATAGAACAAAAAAAGTGTTGCTAGGAGAAGAGTATCCTATGAGATATTTAAAGAAAATATTGTACAAAAGATTTTAAATGTAGTTATCTGAAAATCATTGTATTACTTATTATTTTATTTTATTTAATTAAAAATAAATAAAATATTAATTGCAACGAAATATTTCAGTATTTTTTTTAGTTAACAACCTCTATTTTTTTTTGTTCTTGTTCTTTCTGGATCCTAAAATTCAAATAGAAAATTGAGGTGAATCAGAAATCTAAAGGAGGTTTCATGGCCAAGGGTAAGGATGTTTGAGTAACAATTATTTTGGAATGTACCCGTTGTGTTCGAAATGATATTAAGAAAGAATGTGCAGGAATTTCTAGATATATTACTCAAAAGAATCGGCATAACACCCCTAGTCGATTGGAATTGAGAAAATTCTGTCCACATTGTTATAAACATAAAATTCACGGAGAAATCAAGAAATAGATCAAGGGTCTAAGTGGTAACCAAGGAATCCGGTTGCATATGGTTGAATTGCTAAATTTAGCTGAATTTATTTGTGATTTTTTGCGGAATATGGCTGAATAATTTAAAGTTCAAATGATAACTACTGAATATGGCTGAATTTTTTGAAAATGAAGATAATCAAATAAACTTCTAAAATTTTGAATTAGAAAAAAAAGATTCCAACAATATTAGTTAAAAACGAAATATTATGAAATACTTGTAACTAGTAAAAAATAAAGTTGAATTTTGAAGCAATTTAAAATTACTATATTAGAGATATAATCAAGTTACACAAACAAGAATTTGATTTATGCTTTTAAATTAATCAAATTCTCTAAAATATCTAAAAGTTCTTAAGATTACAAAAATTATCGAAAGTTTTAAGTTAATATATTTAAAGTTTTATCAAACATAATTATTAATTATATTGGTGATTTTGGTGAAATCTAAAGTTAATATATTTGATAATTTAATAAAACATAATTATCATTTAAAACCATAAAATCTTAAAATCAATTTTCACTTTTTGGTAAAAGTGAAATTATAATATTTGTATAATTTAGAATTTTTTACTAACAACTTTTACTATTAAATTTAAATATTTATATTTTCAAGAATAATTTAATTTTTTAATTAAAACAAAAACAACCTAACAAAAATAACCTCAAGTCTTCAAATGATGTAACATTATTTTATACTAGCAAAATTCCTCAACAATTCCTCAGAAGTCAAAACTAATGAATAATGCTAATGGAGATGTCTTGTTACATGAATCTCAAGTAGTCAGCCGGTTAGATCCATCCGGTTTAATTACCTTATTTTGCAATTCATGTCATTGGTTTAAATTAAACCAAAATTGAAAGCCATTATTTTTCTGAAAATCAATCGATAGACAAACTTTCCTCTTCTCTCATCAATCTACTCTCTCGCCGCCATTAGTAGGAGTCCGAGCCACATATGCCACTATTTGAAAAAAATTAATCTGGCGTGCCATCTTATAATCTGAGTGCCACCATAAATGTGATATCTCCAAATTACCCTTAATGAATTAGGGCGAATTGGTACGGAATAGTACAACTTGGTACAACTAAGAAATAATAATACAACTGGTACATATGAGAGATTGTAAGATGATTGGTCCAAATGGTACAACTGAGATATAATAGTACAATTAGTACAAATAGGTATAACTATATATAAATAGGAACAATTGGTACAAATGGTATTACTGATATATAATAGTACAACTGATACAAATGGTACAACTGACATATTAATAGGGACAACCGGTACAAATATATCAATAGTACAATGAATACAAATGGTACAACTGATACATGGACAACTAGTACAACACATACAGGAACAACTGGTACAAATGGTAAAATTTTAAAAAATTATAATTTTAAACCCTAGCGCCGTCACACTCACTAATTCGTTTCTTCTTTGCTTTGTTCATTGACGTCGCCGCCGATTCTACACCAACGCCGATTCTCCTCCACCGTCGATCCTCCTCCACCATCGATTCTCCTCCACCGCCGATTCTCTTCCACCGCCGATTCTCCTCCACCGCCGATTCTTCTCCGTCACTACAAAGCCGATTTGGGAGAAATCTAGATCGGGATTGTTGTTAATCTCAGATCTGTGAGAAGAACGAAGATCTATGGATCTAGAATGAGAAGATCGAAGAGAGGGAAGAAAGATCCATGGAGAAAAAGAGGTTTCGTTGATGGTTAGAAGAGGAAGAAGAGATTTAGGGTTAAGGTTTCGAAAAATCTAGAAGAAGAAGAAGAAGTCGCCGATGAAGGAGAAAGAGACGGAAGAAGAGAAGCGTGAAAGGAGAAAGAGATGGAAGAGGAGAAGCGTGAAAATGAAATAGAAGAAGAAGAAGATAAAATAATTAGGTTTTAGGTAGGCAATGGCAAGGATACGTAAATACTGAATTAGGGTAAAGGTTTTTTGACATTTACTACAGATTTTATATTAAAAAATAAATAAAAAATATAATATAATATAAGAGTGGCATAAACGATTACTTTTTCTGAGGAAGTGGCATTAGTGACAAAAATTCCATTAGTAGACGGTCAGAGGTTTGGGATTTATCTATCTCAGTAATCTCCGTTACATGTCTGCCGAGAACTCGGGCTCGGAGGCGTCCAGTCGGAAGGAGGCCCTGGAGCGGCTGAAAGCTACTCGGAAAGGAGGACTTCGGAATAGTGGTGGGTTCAAGATTAGGCTGCAAAAGCCTATTTTCGATACAGTTGGTGATGAAGAGTATGAATCACTTGTTTCCCGACGGCGTGAGGAAGCTCGCGGGTTTGTGGTGGACGATGGGAATCTGGGATATGTGGACGAGGGTGAGGAGGAGGATTGGTCGAAGCCCAGTGGTGGTGCAGATTCGGACGATGGTGGCGGGAGACTGCAGAGGAGGAAGACTGAGAAGAAGAAGAAGAAGAAGAATAAGGCGAATCTGTCGCTTAAGGCTACGGCTACTATTACAGGTAAAGGGAGACTTTCTTCCATGTTCACATGTTCGAGTTTTAGCAAGACTGATAAGGTAAAATGTGAGAGTATTCTTGATGAGGTATTAGCTGAGGTTACTCCTGATGATATCGATAGAGAAAGACATCATAAGCGAAGGAAACAACCAGCTGCACTGAACAAGAAAAATCTGAGAATGGAAATGCAGGATTCAGAACCAACACCCTCCATTGTTTCCATGGAGAAAGAGCAAGCTACCTCGACAATGGAAATGCAGGATTCACCCGAATTTGAAGTCATCCCTCCTCATGATTCTAGACAAAGTGATGCCAATCAGGTGTTTAAATTGAATGCTTGCCAAAAGGAATTTGATTTGGGTGCTGATGGATCACTTCTTTTTTACATTCTTGATGCTTACGAGGAGCCTTTTGGCGCTAGTAAGGGTATAATATATCTGTTTGGGAAGGTGAGTCTCTTCTATTCCCTTGTGCTTTTAAGTTGTTCTTCTTTGGATTAATTCGGACACACTCTCAGGTTAAAACGGGAGATACATACAAGAGTTGTTGTGCGGTAGTTAAGTATATCCAGAGATGTGTTTATGCTATCCCAAATGATACCATCTTTCCTTCCCATGAAATAATGACTCTCGAGCAAGAGGTGAAAGAGTCTCGACTTTCTCCTGAATCCTTCCGAGGGAAGTTACATGTGAGTTTCACTACTTGTATTACTTATTGGTTACATGTGACTTTGACTACTTGTGTTACTTATTGCTTAGATCTCTCTGTCCTCTATTATTTACTGTTTTTTTGGCCGTGTCTTCTCAGGAAATGGCATCCAAACTGAAGAAGGAAATTTCTCAGCAATTGTTACAACTCAATGTTTCAAATTATAGCATGGCACTTGTCAAGGTTTGGTTCTTTACTCTAACTTTCCATGTATTCTAGCAGCAAAACTTCTCTTTTGACTCTCTGTTCTGCTCTCCTTTGATGAACATCAGAGAAACTATGCATTTGACAGGCCTGATGTGCCTGCTCGCGAACAATATGTTTTGAAGATAAATTATCCATTTAAGGTACATTTCATCTTCAAAAGTTGTCTGTTCTTTTTTTTTTTTTTTAGTTTCCGTACTCAACACAATAATACTTTTGTCTTTGTTGTCATAGGATCCTCCACTTCCAGAAGACCTTAAAGGGGAGTCTTTTTGCGCTGTGCTCGGCTCTCATACCAGGTTTTGGCATCTTACTGCTAAGTTTATTTACCTTTCCCTGTTTTTGATAGTCGATTAGTTAAGTTTCCATTTACTGGTCCTTTGTAAGCTTCTTAATTAACTTAATTTATATGCAGTGCTCTGGAGCTTTTTATCCTCAAAAGGAAGATCATGGGACCTTCATGGCTCAAAATTTCAATCTTTTCTGCCACTTTAAAATCTCAACGAGTAAGGCCTTGAAAAAGTACCATGATCATCCTTGCTAGTGATTTTTAGTTCTGTTTTTTTTTTTCCCAGTAATGAGGACTTGACACTTGTGCAGGTGAGCTGGTGCAAGTCTGAGGTTACTGTTGAATCTCCCAAGGTTATCACTGTTTCAATTCCGGAGGAAAAAACGGTTCATCCTCCTGCTGTCATTACAGCCATTAACTTAAAGACCATAGTCAATGAAAAGCAGAACATCAGCGAAATTGTTTCTGCGTCTGTTCTCTGCTTTCACAACGCCAAGGTTTGTTCTACAACATTTGACCTAAGCTTCTTATCCGTCGTTTCTCTCTGTTAAAAATATGGATGTTTCCATGAGTGTTCGTCACCTCAGATGGTTATGCTACTACGTTCTTAAGTATGATCATGACATTACCAGTCACAAGTAGTTATTTCAGATGTGTTTTTTGTGTGTTTGAGCTGGTTTGTGGACGATTTTCTCTTATGTCGACATGAGTAGCTTGACATTTGATGTTCCTTGGTCTTTCAGATTGATGTTCCAATGCCAGGTCCAGAAAGAAAGCGATCTGGTGTTCTGAGTCATTTCACTGTTGTCAGGAATCCTGAAGGAACCGGCTACCCAATTGGTTGGAAAAAAGAAGTGGCTGACAGAAATTCAAAGAACGGCTGCAGTGTTTTAAGTTTTGAAAACAGGTATTTCGCAGCTCTGTTGCTGTATAGGCTGTGCTTTTGATCCATATATATCTTTGGCAATTCATGTTGCTTTCATCCAACATTTCTTTTCTTTTTCTTACTGCAGTGAAAGAGCATTGCTGAACCGATTGTTTCTGGAGTTGAACGAATTAGACAGTGATATTCTTGTGGGACATAATATATCAGGTTTTGATCTGGATGTCCTTCTCCAAAGAGCCCAGGTAAAGCAAATACTCTTTTTTACCATTTAAAAAAATGGCTGTGTCTTCAAGGAACTATAGCGTGCTCCGGTAGACGTGATGCTATATTAGTTTTGTAAGGACTTGTCTTCTATGCAGAAGTAACATTAATAAGCTAGCAAGTTCTTATTTTATGCATTGTACATCATTTAGTCCCTTTTCTCAGTCTCTCCTGTTATGATGGTGACGTAACAGAGATACGAACATAACTTCTGTTTTTCTCTAAAAACTGAATGATTATTGTGCAGGCTTGCATAGTTAAGAGTAGCATGTGGTCGAAAATTGGCCGTCTCAAACGCTCTTTCAAGCCTAAGCTTAAAGGGAACACTAATTTTGGGTCCGGAGCTACACCAGGGCTTATGTTTTGCATTGCTGGAAGACTCTTATGTGATATAGATCTATGTTCTCGTGACTTGTTGAAGCAGGTAGATGCTCAACTCTTATAAGCAGTGAACTGAAGCTTCGTCCCTCACCTATATGCTTCTGGCTGTTGCAGGTCAGTTATTCATTAACAGACCTTTCAAAGACACAGCTGAACTAGGACAGGAAAGAGATATCGCCTAATGATATTCCCAAAATGTTTCAGTCATCGAAAACACTTGTGGAACTTGTAAGTTCTTTAGTTTGTCCACTCATGTCTATTTTATGGATACAAACTAGTACTACCTCACTAGAGACGATAGGTTATGATTCCTTGCAAGCGAAATAATTTATTGCATACTGGAGAAGGATAATGATCCAGTCATACGTAGAAGTAAAGGAGTAGCAGATAACATCAGTTGACGTAAGGTTGATAAGTGATGACTGCATCTTAGTTTCTTCCTTGCTATAACCTTTCGGTTTTCTTCGGTTCAGATTGAACGTGGTGAGACAGATGCATGGTTATCCATGGAGCTCATGTTTCATTTAAGTGTTCTTCCTCTCACTCTCCAGCTTACCAACATAAGTGGCAATCTCTGGGGGAACACTCTTCAGGTAATGAATGACTCAGTTCTAGCTCTCCCTCTCTCTCTCTCTGAAACGTTATCTGGTGACTTAAATTTTTTTTTTTTGTTCATTACTAGGGAGCCAGGGCGCAAAGAAATGAATACTACTTACTACATACATTCCACTCGAGAAAGTACATTCTCCCAGACAAAATTTCGCAACATATGAAGGAAAGAAAGTCATCAAAAAGAAGAATCAATCATGGTCCAGAAGACCACAATGTAGATGAATTGGATGTTGACTTGGCTTTGGAAAACGATCAGGGCAACAAAACAAAAAAGGGTCCAGCCTACGCTGGTGGATTGGTCTTGGAGCCAAAGAAAGGCTTATATGACAAATATGTGTTGCTTCTCGATTTCAGTAGTCTTTACCCGTCTATTATACAGGTTAGTAGACCGTTTTCTATTTCTCATGGCTGTTTCCACTTGATTGGTACATAACGGTCATTGTAATTTCAGGAATATAATATCTGTTTCACGACTATATCATGATCAGAAGACGGAGTTCCTCGTTTACCCTATAGTCAGACACCTGGAATTCTTCCCAAGGTATGTTTACACTAGTTTCTTTCTATTGTGACTTCTCTCGGTTCCGTACTCGATCTTTTATAGGTCTTCAAACACCAAATCTATAAGTCAGGCCAACCAAACCAGAAATTAATAGAAAGAAACAAAAACTCAACAAGCGAAAATAACATATTTTGCCTCGTTTTCTCTCGAGGTATATGCGGAAAGTCATCAGAATAATGCGACCCAACAGTTCATTGTATTGGTGATTGCTGTGTGCTGTAGTTCGATTAAACTAATCTTGACTTCATGTTCTAAACTATAGCTCTATGCATTTATTGGTGCCACGACTTTGAGTTTCTCTCCTTGTTCTGTTATGCCAAGTCTAATAAAGATTAGATCATAAATTTCACAACATGTCTTTGTTTTAGTTGATGGAACATTTGGTCAGTATAAGGAAATGCGTCAAACTAAAGATGAATGATAGTAAGATTTTGACTAAGATCAATTATCCTTAAAGTACTATCATGTCATTGCAGTATTTAAGGTGTCAATCCAAATGGGTGTGATGCTAGCAATCAAGATGCAATCAGATATCACAGAGTCAAGCCAAGCAATAACAGGTTTTGGTGTTGTTAACAGTCCTAAGTGATCATGCAAAAACAGAAATTATAACAGAACTAGCTAATATACTCGACCAACACAGCCTGATGCCAAGCACTGGGTGTGGTCGAGTATCAGGTCGAGTAACAGCAGAAACTGCAATAAAACTACTCTACCACACAGTCCGTTTGCCAGACACTGGATGTGGTCGAGTAACAGGTCGAGTACTAAATGGAAACTGCAATAAAACTACTCTACCACACAGTTCGTTTCCAAACCGCTGGGTGTGGTCGAGTACTTCAAGTGAAATAAGTAAAAATGCAAAAACTAAGCAACAAGTAACGAGATCAAGCAATCAATAGCGATGTGAACAAAGAAATCAATTGGAAGAGAAATTCCCGAGGATGGGGTAATCGAGTAGTGAAGTCTCCTTAATCTAACAGGTGGTTAACATGCTCAACAAACTATCCCTAGACAACAAGTTCAATAGCCAAATCAAAGTGCTACCGCAACAGAGATCCTCAAGCAAAGCTAGTCCCAGACTCAATCACCATTGACGAGAGCTAACCTAACAGGCATTACGAAACAACAAGTCTAAGCCAAAACGCTCCCTGTAACCAATACCTTGGTACTGAGCCACGAATCTCTGGAATTAGTGGTTCAGACATTTCATCGAACACCTTTTGGGTGCGGAAATGTCTGGGCTCAGATTCCAGTTGATCAGAAAGCAATCAGCATTAAGAACAACTAATCCAGAAGGGATCTACCAATCAAACTCAACCACCTAGCAGATCAAGGATTCTAAACTACTCTAACCCATCCTCAAGAACCCTAATCACTACTCAAAACTCATGAACATGAACATAAACCCAGAAATGCATAAAAACTTCATACAAGCAAGATCTCAACAAGATGAACAACTTTGTAGAAGAAATCAAAAGCAAATACTCAATAGATTAAGAGAAATCTGGATTACAAAGATGAAGAAACACTAATTGTTCTGCAGAAAATAACTTAGACAGAATAAAACTTAGTCTGAAAATTATGAGAAACAACCTATTTATAGCAAATACTAGGAAACCCTAAATCACAAGACGACAAAGTATTAAGGCGGTTTACGGAGATACTCGACCCTTGTGATCGAGTAGAGAGGTTGAATAAAGTTGACGCCTTTGCGATTTCTTGCTCTGGGCATGTCGTGATCGAGCATTTAGGTCGAGTATGTGCTCGAGTTCTGCTTCATCCTCTTCTCTTCCTTATGCTCAATGTCTGGTTGAGTTGGGATCTGAGAAGACTGTGAAGCTTGTGATCAAGTGGCTGCGGGGAGGTGGTGATCGAGTAGATTGGTTGGTGGCACGCTCTGGACTGCTTCTTTAACCCTGCGATCGAGTATGTGGGTAGACTGGCAGGATGGACTGCCCTGTGATCGAGCAGAACTGTGAATTGGCAGGATGGACTGCCCTGTGATCGAGCAGAACTGTGAACTGGCAGGATGGACTGCCCTGTGATCGAGCAGAACTGTGAACTGGCAGGATGGACTGCCCTGTGATCGAGCAGAACACTCCTGATGGTCTGCTGAGCTGACTGCTTCCCTCTCTGCTACTGGTGATCGAGCAGAATGGTCCAAATGTGACTTTCAGCTATGTTTTTCCTCTTTCTGAACACCAATAGCCCCGAAGCACCTGAAACAACTCAAATATGCAACATGCATGCAAAACTACCCTAATCATGCAAAGTGATGACAAATGATGAAGAATGGTATGAAACAATGACGAAATGATGATAAAGTGATGCTAAATGGATGCTCAAAACAAGTGAAATATAGACATATCAACTCCCCCAAACTTAGTCTTTGCTTGCCCTCAAGCAAACAATTAAGAACAAGCTAGAGGAGAGGTTTGAAAGCGGGGACTCAGAACCAAAGCATGCAGACAAAGCAAATGAACTCAATGTCCAAGTTAGTAATTGTGGAATGCTTAGAGACCAAACTCTACTTAAAAACTTTAGCCATATTCATCACAAGACAACCTAACATTTGTTCCAATCTACACACACCTTCAGATCATCAATTCCCTTTAACATTGATTAAGCTCAAACCATGAATCAAGCAAAACATTGTTGAAGAACTCATTTGGTTTAAAGGACAAGGCTGAGAAACAAAGATGGTCCCTCTGTAAATGGTTTCAGACTTTTTCACAGTAACAGGGAACTCTCATGAATGGACAGAGCTTTAGTAGAATGCTAAAGGTTAGAACCAACCTACGCATACAAGAACAGACCCCATCTACCCAAATAACCATAATCATATCAAACTCTATAGATGGTCCTATCTCTAAACCCCAGAAATGATCCTAATTCTACCCTTTTGCACTCAAGGCATGTTTCAATAATCTCTTGGATCAACCCATTCTTTGTTTTTGGTTTTTGTTCTAAGGAGAGGTTTTCTTTTAGACTTTCTAGCGGATTGGGACTTTCTTTAACAACTAAGGCTCTTCTTCTCATCTCATGACTTAAGACAACTCTAGGCTTTTGCCTTTCTTTTTACTTTGCACAGAGCCTAACTTCTTTTATTTTCAAGCTTCCCAATTCCTTTACTAGACTAACATGATATTCTTTTCTGTTTCACTTCCATCTCCTAAGAACAATAACACTTGTCTTTCTTTCTCAATTTTATTCCAAACACATTCCCAAACCCAAAGTAAAACTCCCACCTAGTCCTATCTAGCCCAAAAAGCGTGGACTAGAACTACATGGGATACCATTCTTGTCGGTTCATACCTAACACTTTCTACCAAGCTCAATCCGGAAATAGGCCTCACACACACACAAATTTATTCAGGGCTTGAAAGAAAGGTTAGGTTCAGGGTGGGGGAAACTGTTCCAATGATGGGAATCAGCTACTTGGATTAGCAAGAGTGGTAGAAGGTGAAAGAAAATCCAAGTATGTGTATTGGTAGCCACAAGTTCAACAACAATGCAAAGACATGATAATTATAAGTCAAGTTCAGGTTCTAATAGATAGGGAAAAGAATCACATCCAGCATGCTTCAATTAAAACAAGAGAGTCAAGTTGTGAATTCCAAATATGGTGCAGTCTTAATTCAAGTTCTATCACAAGCATTAAACAACTAGTAACGAGGGCATTGAATTCATTCAGTAAATGAGCATGCTTACAAGGTTATCTCATCATCATCCCCTATGCATATGCAACAATCCTATATGACACATTCTAGATTCAATCTTAAAATGAAAATGCAACTACATGAACACTCTATTTTTGTGAAACCATTTTCAGAAATTTTTCAAATTTTTAGGGTTTTTTCAATGACATAGATGAATGCAGACAATATGTACAATGCAAGAAAAATTTGAAAACAAGAACAAAGCAAACACATCAGATACTTCCTGAGCCCTCCCCCAAACTTAAATTACACAGTCCTCTGTGTAACAAAGATTTGGAAGAGAGTACTCAGGACAAATAAATAAAGAAAGAAGACATGAGATGGTATAAACAATGGGGAAGTGGAGTTGTTACCTCAACTGAAGAAGGAGTTGATGTTCTCATCAATGCTTGCTTGTGTAAACATCATACTCGACCATGTTTCTTCATCAGCATGTGGCCTCGCATGATAGAGTGACATGTTGAAACTTCAAAAATCTTGAGACTAAAACCCCATTGATACTCGATCACACAGCTTCACTTGCTCTTTGCCGGATGTGGTCGAGTGTTCTGTTGCACACTCAGAGCCAGAATCCACTTCACTCAGCTCATGACACTTATCTCCTGAAAACATTACTAAAACGCATTAAAAATAACAAGGAAAATAGAAAATATGTACAGGGATAGACATGGGACTTCCTCCCAAGTGAGCTTGTTTTAAGTCTCTAAGCTTGACTTCTCACACTCGTTAGGCTTAAGGTGGTTTGCAGAGGGGAAATGAGGTCTCCTCTCCTTCTTCAGCAGATGTATCGTCAAACTCAACATGCTCTCTTGATAGGTCTGCAATTGGATACTCAGTGGCCATATCCTTGAAGAAATCTTCTTTTTGATCGAGAGGATGGTCTTCTTCTCTAGACCATTTCAATGTGAATTCACATCCCGCCTTGCTGACCAGAGTAGTGGCTCCATCATTTTGGACGTCCTTGGTGTTGAGTAGCACTAGGTTGGCTTTTCCATGGAGCTCCTTGATTTGATCCTTCAGCTCTCTCACAGTGTCTGTTAACTCCCTTATGGCTTTGTCTTGCCATTTTGACCTCTCCTTTAGCTCCAACCAATCATCAGATGCCAGAGTGCTTGCTTTGAGCTGTTGTTCGAGTTGTTCGGTCGAGCATGAGCTCTCAGGGCAAGTTGGAGTCTTCTTCGAATTGTTGGTGGAATCAGTTGGTCGAGCATGTGTTGAACTTACTTCATTTCCTCCCATAAACTTTGTTTCGGACCCCATCAGACCCTTGTAGACCTCTGAACCAACTGCTACCTTGTGTGAGTCTAATGACTTCTCAGAACTCAAAGTTTCACTAGGGAGATACCCAGCTTTACCACTCTTGGTCAAAACAGTTTTTAAGTAATTTTCTTCAGCAAGTTCCTCTAGCAGTTCATCAGCTAGCCGATCCATTTCCTCAAGTAAGAAGGTCTGTCCTCCTATTGTTGGCTTCTTCATACCATCATTGATGTCAAACTTCATTTTAAAATCTTTCCCCAGATTAAGATCAATCTTCCCTTGCTTAACATCTATGATTGCTCCCGCTGTAGCCAAGAAGGGCCTTCCTAAGATCAAGGGATCTTTTGGTTCTTCATCCATGTCTAGCACTACGAAGTCTGTAGGCACCTCCACATTTCCAATCTTGATAGGCAAATCTTCTAATAACCCATGAGGTAGTCTAATAGACCTATCAGCCAAGATCAAGGAGATATTGCAGTATTTATACTTGTTGAAACCCAACCTCTTAGCTACTGAGAGTGGCATGAGACTTACTGATGCTCCTAGGTCACAAAGACATTTATTGAAAGTCAATGAACCTAGGGAGCATGGTAGAGTAAATGAACCAGGGTCTCCTTGCTTTTCTGGGACAACCTTCTTCTGTATGATGGCACTGCACTCATGGCTCACAACTGTTGTTCTCTGAACCTCTTGAATTCTCTCCCTGATCAATTCTTTCAGAAACTTGTGGGAATCCGGAATAAGCGTGAGAGCATCAACAAGAGGTATCCTGGCTTCAACGTTTTTGATGTTCTCTGCAAACATAGCTCTGTACTTATCTGCCAACGCTTTCTTTTGTCTACCAGGAAATGGAAGTGGGGGCTTGTAAGGAGGAGGAACAAAAACCTTCTCCTTGTTCTTAGCAGCAACTGGTTTTTCAGCAGGTATAGCCGCTACTCGAGTTGTTGATCGAGTATGTCCATCGAGTACTTCAGCTGGTTTGTCAACTTGATCTTCATTGAGACTGAAATCCTCCCCATCTTGGTCTGCACTGTCCTCAGTGACTGGCTTGGGTCCCTCTCGGGTGGATAACTCTCTTCCACTCCTTAGGGTGATAGCATGAACATTAGCATACTCCTTTGGATTCGGAATTGCTTTCCCTGCGAGTTGCCCTGGAGGTTTCGGAGCAGAAGTGGATGCAAATTGTCCCTCTAAGTATCGGACCTTGGAGCTCAATGCTTCTACTTTTACATTCAGGTCATTGTAGCTACAATCCAACTTATGGTGTAATTCAGATATCTTCTTAGCAATCTCCATGGAGCCAGATGCTTGTCCTTGGAGAAGCTGTTGTAGCATTTGCTTCATGTCAGAGTCAGGAGAAGCAGAACTTTGATGCTGCTGAGGTACATACCCAGGTGGTGGTTGCTGCTGGTAGTTCCCCTGAAATTGTTGCTTGGGAGCAAAACCTTGGTTGTATGGAACAAAAGGTTTATGCTGACCCTGCTGTTGTTGTGGAGGATACACTTGATCCTGTGGATTAGCAACGATGGTGCTGCGGTAAGAAAGGTTGGAGTTGTTAGTCTTGAAGTTGTTATACCCGTTGTAGCCGCCTTGATTGTTGATGTAGCTGACCTCTTCTAACTGGTTTCCCTCCCCATCTTGGACTTGATACTGCTCGTCATCAAGTAGAAAGTGCACATTCTTCTGCTGGCCAAGGATAAGCCTATCAAGTTTCTCATTAAGAGCTTTCATCTCTTTACTATGCTTTGCATCTGAATCTCCAATACCTCTGTTAGAGCGATCAAAATCCTCGTTATAATTACCATCGGATTGAGCTAAGTTCTCAATTAATTCCCAGCCGTCTTCAACATCCTTATTCAAGAAATTCCCATTAGAAGCAGTATCCAGCAATATTCTGATCTTGGGCAAAACTCCCCTGTAGAGTGTGCTTAGTAGAGAAGCCCTCTTGAAACCATGGTGTGGACACTGTATAGTGTAGCCTTTGAATCTCTCCCAGGCTTCACAAATGGATTCAGACTGCTTTTGGGTAAAACTGGAGATTTCATTCCTAAGCCGTGCAGTTCTTGAATTTGAGAAGAACTTTGTTAAGAAGGCCTTCTTGCAATCGTCCCAAGATGTGATGGAACCAGCAGGTAACGTCTTTTCCCATTGGTGTGCTTTGTCTCCCAGTGAGAAGGGAAACAGGCGCAGCTTGAAACTGTCCTCACTAACACCGTTTATCTTGGTTAGGCTGCAGAGCCTATCGAAGTTATCCAAGTGGTCTAAGGGATCTTCCAGAGGCAGACCATGGAACTTGTTTCCTTGAATCATCGAGATGAGACCACTTTTAATCTCGAAGTTGTTGTTTTGGATAGCAGGAGGCACGATTCCTTGCCTCTGATGGTGGTTTCTTGGTGCATCTCCAGCACCAATGTTTGCAGGCAGATTGTTGATATCTTGTTCATCAGCCATTCTGAAAGGATGGTTGTGTTCAAGGTCTGTAGTGTCTCTCCTTTCCCTTAGTTCTCTGTCGATACGGTCAATGTTGTCGTTGAAAAGGAGGTTCTGGTTGCCTTTTGATCGAGTTTGCATACAGCAGGGTTGTACCTGGATCAAGAAGACAACAAGAAAAACAAAAAGTTAGTAACCGAAGTGAAAATTGAAATAGAACTTGATCTAAGCAAGTCTGAAATCTCAAATGTAACAAACAAACACCCAAATGGCAACGGCGCCAAATTGATAGTAAGATTTTGACTAAGATCAATTATCCTTAAAGTACTATCATGTCATTGCAGTATTTAAGGTGTCAATCCAAATGGGTGTGATGCTAGCAATCAAGATGCAATCAGATATCACAGAGTCAAGCCAAGCAATAACAGGTTTTGGTGTTGTTAACAGTCCTAAGTGATCATGCAAAAACAGAAATTATAACAGAACTAGCTAATATACTCGACCAACACAGCCTGATGCCAAGCACTGGGTGTGGTCGAGTATCAGGTCGAGTAACAGCAGAAACTGCAATAAAACTACTCTACCACACAGTCCGTTTGCCAGACACTGGATGTGGTCGAGTAACAGGTCGAGTACTAAATGGAAACTGCAATAAAACTACTCTACCACACAGTTCGTTTCCAAACCGCTGGGTGTGGTCGAGTACTTCAAGTGAAATAAGTAAAAATGCAAAAACTAAGCAACAAGTAACGAGATCAAGCAATCAATAGCGATGTGAACAAAGAAATCAATTGGAAGAGAAATTCCCGAGGATGGGGTAATCGAGTAGTGAAGTCTCCTTAATCTAACAGGTGGTTAACATGCTCAACAAACTATCCCTAGACAACAAGTTCAATAGCCAAATCAAAGTGCTACCGCAACAGAGATCCTCAAGCAAAGCTAGTCCCAGACTCAATCACCATTGACGAGAGCTAACCTAACAGGCATTACGAAACAACAAGTCTAAGCCAAAACGCTCCCTGTAACCAATACCTTGGTACAAAGCCACGAATCTCTGGAATTAGTGGTTCAGACATTTCATCGAACACCTTTTGGGTGCGGAAATGTCTGGGCTCAGATTCCAGTTGATCAGAAAGCAATCAGCATTAAGAACAACTAATCCAGAAGGGATCTACCAATCAAACTCAACCACCTAGCAGATCAAGGATTCTAAACTACTCTAACCCATCCTCAAGAACCCTAATCACTACTCAAAACTCATGAACATGAACATAAACCCAGAAATGCATAAAAACTTCATACAAGCAAGATCTCAACAAGATGAACAACTTTGTAGAAGAAATCAAAAGCAAATACTCAATAGATTAAGAGAAATCTGGATTACAAAGATGAAGAAACACTAATTGTTCTGCAGAAAATAACTTAGACAGAATAAAACTTAGTCTGAAAATTATGAGAAACAACCTATTTATAGCAAATACTAGGAAACCCTAAATCACAAGATGACAAAGTATTAAGGCGGTTTACGGAGATACTCGACCCTTGTGATCGAGTAGAGAGGTTGAATAAAGTTGACGCCTTTGCGATTTCTTGCTCTGGGCATGTCGTGATCGAGCATTTAGGTCGAGTATGTGCTCGAGTTCTGCTTCATCCTCTTCTCTTCCTTATGCTCAATGTCTGGTTGAGTTGGGATCTGAGAAGACTGTGAAGCTTGTGATCAAGTGGCTGCGGGGAGGTGGTGATCGAGTAGATTGGTTGGTGGCACGCTCTGGACTGCTTCTTCAACCCTGCGATCGAGCAGAACTGTGAACTGGCAGGATGGACTGCCCTGTGATCGAGCAGAACTGTGAATTGGCAGGATGGACTGCCCTGTGATCGAGCAGAACTGTGAACTGGCAGGATGGACTGCCCTGTGATCGAGCAGAACACTCCTGATGGTCTGCTGCCCTGTGATCGAGCAGAACACTCCTGATGGTCTGCTGAGCTGACTGCTTCCCTCTCTGCTACTGGTGATCGAGCAGAATGGTCCAAATGTGACTTTCAGCTATGTTTTTCCTCTTTCTGAACACCAATAGCCCCGAAGCACCTGAAACAACTCAAATATGCAACATGCATGCAAAACTACCCTAATCATGCAAAGTGATGACAAATGATGAAGAATGGTATGAAACAATGACGAAATGATGATAAAGTGATGCTAAATGGATGCTCAAAACAAGTAAAATATAGACATATCAATGAAAAAGGAAACAGGTCTCAAGTGCCGGGAGCTTGACATTCGGCAGGAGGCATTAAAGCTCACAGCCAATAGGTTTGTATTTACGGGTTTAGCTTTTGCTGGCAATAATGCCCATTCACCACATTTTTTGATATTAATGTTTCATTCTAAACGCAGTTTCTATGGATATCTTGGGTTTTCTAATTCAAGATTCTACGTTAAGCCTTTAGCAGAGCTCATAACACTATAGGTAAGTTTTGCTTTCTGTGTGTTTCTTGTGATAAAATTTTCTTTGCTTTTCTCTGTTCTCATGTGATCCGGCTAAGTCCCAAACATTGCAGGGAAGGGAGATCCTGCAAAGAACCGTGGATTTTGTCCAGAATCATTTAAACCTAGAGGTATCTCCTATACCTTGAGTCGCACGAAATGCTATTCAGCAGAGAAATTAATTTAATGTGTTAAAATTTCTGCTTTATCAAGTGTAAAATTGAACTTCTTGCTTTGTTATGTAGGTGATTTATGGTGACACGGATTCAATCATGATTCACAGTGGACTAGATGATATCGAAGAGGTCAAAGCCATTGGAGCAAAAGTCATCCAAGAGGTTGGTTGGATAATAGATTTACCTCCAGCTTTTTACCCTTACTTCAAACCTTTCTATGATTAAACCAATATGCATTAAATGTTTGCAACTTTGATTTTCGGTTTCTTGATGCATGAAACATCACGCAGTGGAGAACTCAAATTGGTATAACTGTTATTGGGGAGGGGCTTTTTGGTGCAAATTGCTGACATTTGATATGGGTCTCACCTTCTCTTTTTCAATTTCTAGGTCAATAAAAAGTATAGATGTCTGAAGATTGAACTTGATGGCATATATAAGAGAATGCTTCTTCTTAGAAAAAAGAAGTATGCCGCCATCAAGTTGCAGTTCAAGGACGGGAAGATTTGCGAGGTAATATCTAATTTACACATTCTGACTACCTTTTATTTTAAACAATGTTTGGGTACTAGATGCATTCTAAATGCAGGAAATTGAAAGGAAAGGTGTGGACATGGTTCGTCGAGATTGGAGCTTGCTCTCCAAGGAAATTGGAGATGTATGCTTGGCTAAAATCTTGTGTGGAGGGTACGTTCTAGAACATTCACGAAAAGCATTATTTTTACTCTCTCTTACAAAGCACAACAAAATCTTTGCAGGTCGTGTGAGGATGTTGTTGAAGCAATTCATAACGAACTTATGAAGGTAATCTTTGTTAACTCCCCCCATTTATTAACCTTTGATAATTAGTTTGGTCTTCTTTATCATTCAATACATGACACTTTGTCCATGCAACAGATAAAAGAGGAAATGAGAAATGGGCAAGTTGCACTTGAGAAGTATGTCATCACCAAGGCATTGAGTAAGTCACCAGAAGCTTATCCAGATTCCAAAAGCCAACCACACGTTCAGGTGAGTATGAGAGCCTATTTATTTGCATTATTGCTCACCCGAATTATGCTTAAAATTTGTAGTTGTCACATTTTCCCGAACTCTGATTTTGTGGTTGAATTGTTTTTCTCAGGTCGCGCTCAGAATGAGGCAACGTGGTTATAAAGAAGGTTTTAGTGCTAAGGATACCGTACCATATATAATCTGCTATGAACAGGTTCCCAACATAGAAGACCAACTTAATACTATCCGATACCAAATCTTCTTTCTACTAAATTTCTTACCTTTCCTCATTGCAGGGTAATCCTAGCTTAGCAAGCTCAGTAGGGATCGTCGAACGTGCCAGGCATCCGGCTGAGGTGAAATCAGAAGACAGCAGATGGTTGGTTGACATAGATTACTACTTGGCACAGCAGATTCATCCGGTGGTATCTCGTTTATGCGCAGAGATTCAGGGCACAAGTCCTGAGAGGTTAGCCGAGTGTTTAGGACTTGACCCATCAAAGGTAAAGCTTTCATTTAAGCCAATCTCCAATTCCATATATAATGATTGGAAATAATGTGTTCTTTTTGTCTTTTTGTCTTTTTCTATAGTATCGAAGCAGATCAAACATTACTACGGGCAGTGATCCTTCTACATCCCTCTTGTTTGCTACGAGCGATGAAGAAAGGTAACAATATCTTATCCCATTTGTGGGTTGCTTTCATGCTTCCTTCCTATAATATATTTTCACCAGGATTTGCGTTATTCTTATAATTCAATATCTGTAATTTACACAGATATAAAAGCTGTGAGCCGTTAGTATTAGCATGCCGTAGCTGCTCAACTGCTTTGAACTGTCCATCGATTACTAGCTCAGTTTGTGCGTCGATCTGTAAGAAATCTGATACAGAGGAATCTGATTCTATATTCTGGCTTAAACGGCATTGCCTGAAATGCGAAGCAGAAGGTAGCACGAGAAGAATATCCCCTGCAATGATAGCTAACCAGGTAGGCAAAGCTATGTAGAAAAGGATCCATAATTTCTACGTTTCTCAAATTAAAATTCTTTTGCAGAACAAATGCTTTGGTAATTAACTTATTATCATGCATTTCAGGTGAAAAGGCAGATTGATGGGTTTGTGTCAATGTACTACAAAGGCATAATGATGGTGCACATAAAACCTTCTCACTTGCCTTGTTTATATACATTATTCTGAACACCCGTTAGTGTGACGATGAGTCTTGCAAATACACGACACGCAGCCCCAACTTTCGTCTGCTCGGTGACCGTGAACGGGGAACAGTTTGCCCAAACTATCCTAACTGTAATGGAACCTTCTTAAGAAAGGTATAATAAGCCCTCATCCTCCTTGTTCTTTCTGTTGCTTTATAGGACAAGTTTTGACTCCCAAGCCTTTGTCTTTACAGTACACTGAAGCAGACTTGTACAGGCAGCTATCCTACTTTTGCCATATCTTAGACACACAATACTCTCTAGAAAAGGTTTCTACTTTCAACCTCAGTGCTTCTAATGTACGTGTTATCACAAAATCAATTTCTCTTCTCTAGATCCCTAATAACCTCATGGCAGCAGATGGATGTTGGTGTCAAAATTCAAGTAGAGAAAGCAATGACGAAGATAGGACCTGCGGTTGAGTCAACAGCATCCATGGCTCGAAGTATACGAGACCGCTGTGCCTACGGATGGCTGCAACTGACAGACATAGCCGTTTGAGAGTTGTAATAACCGTAGTTGAACTTATATCATCTTTTGACATCATCTACGGATGGCTGCTACTCGGTTGTGTTCACACATAAAGCTTATTATTATCGTAGCACTTTGAAATACAAGACTCGAACACAACCTTGAGAGTCACTGAGTATCTAGCCTAAAACCACACCACATAAAGCATTCTTTTTTTTCTAAGCACAACCAACATTACACTTCAAAAGATAACCATCATGTAGGAGCCTGATCTCATAAATTTTAGATTAAAAAATTTTGCATGTTAGTTTAAAAAATCTTTATAGGAAACAAATCTAATTATAATCGTGTAAATTTGAATTTTTTGGCAAATATTTTATTAAATCTTTGTTCAAAAATTTATTAGATTAGATTTCAATGCAGATACAGAACCCCAATGAGGTTGAATATTACGCGATGATAGAGGTTATTACAAGGGATCAAGCCAAGCAAAGGGAGGAAAAATTCAAAACGCTTTGGAGAGTGAAAGCCAAATCCTCCTAATCCAAACTATGCAATACTGCTGGACCACTCGGCTGATCTCTTTTTTTTTTTTTTTTTTTTTTTTTTTTTTTTTTTTTTTTATTCAATCAACCCAAAAGGGCAATGGGCCTTGGCCTACACTCGAAAATAAAGCCCAGTTACAGAACCGGTACACCAGAAAAATGCCGGAAAAGAAAAGCGACTCGACCCTTGTTGATAACCGACCGCAGAGAGACCAAACCCTAAATCCGACGAAATCAAGGCCGACAGCTTTGTGGCCGCATCGGGAGATTGAAATAACCGTAGGAAGATTTCGGTTTCCGGCAGCTATCTCTCTCCTCCGACGCACCAATCCACCACAAGCCTCTCAGAAAGTTAGTCCTCCGACGGCACGGATCGACGGTGACAGATCCTGACCTAGCAACATGTCACACTTGGAGTTAACCTCGCTTTTCCAACACCGGAGATTCCGATATCCCAGAGTCATGAGCTTCGATCCGGACAGTGGACACACCCGATACGGCGGATCTAGAAGACGGTGGCTCACCCAGAACTTTTAAATCCGACCCCCGCATCGGCCATCGCAGATCTCAGATCCACCGCTAGCCACCTGTCAAATCAACAAAACCCACCTTATCCCCGCTAACTTCCGCCGTAGACGCAACTTCTAGGCCGACGGCTAAGCCTGAAGAGCATCGAAGCCACTCCCAGCGTCCTCAACCGGGAGGCACCGCTTCAAAGCTCTTCCTCCGCCATTCCATAGCCACGACCACATCAGCGGGGCCACGACCACATCAGCGGGGAAGCACCACACCTCTGTTGACAGAGAAGCAACATGACTCACTCCTGGCCACCTCCGAGGAACCTCAGCCGGCGATTAAACCAGAGTTACCGGAAACCTAGATCTAAAACTCGAAATCGCCTTCAAGAGTGAGAAAAGGGCACTATTATCGATGCAACGATTGTGCTCCGGAATCGACTCATTTCTCACTCGGATGATCTTTGAAGGTGATTGCAACGAATTGACACAACTTCTCCATATATAGTAACGTACTTAACCAACTTTGGAATGCACAACTGGATCTGTGATATCTTCCATTGGAAGAACAAGTTTGAAAGCGCGAAGTTTCAATGGATAGGAAGGACACAAAACAAAGCAGCCGACTACCTGTCAAAGAGCCCCATGCCTAGAAACACAACTTACGTGTATCATTTCTTGGTTCCCCATATAAAAATAACAAGTATCTTACATGAAGATTTTTGTATGTCCACTCAACATTAACATTTTCAATAAAAGATGTTAAAAAGAAATAAAAAAAAATAATGATTACTAAAACTGAAAATCAATTGGTTAAGGCCCATCAAGATTCCGGTATGCTCACGAAAGTTTAGAATTGAAAATTGGTTAAAGTCCGTAATATACACACCGTGAACCCTAAAGAGAGAGAGAGTTCCCGATGTCGTCTTCTCCGTCATCTTCCGCCGCCGATGACGGAGGAGACAACTTAGAATTAAAAAAAATAAAATCAAGATATATTTCACGAAAAATAATGATAAAGAGACATAACCCTTAGAAACATTTATTAAGAACTATATTCTTATTAGAAACATATTACGGTGAAAACTATTAGTAGACGTATTTTTTCAACTTCTTAAACAATTATAAATATAGGTATATTAATATATTCAACAAAACATTATGATGTTGACAAAAAAAGAAGAAAACCAAATATTATCATTGAAGTAAACAACATTTTAAATTGTGTTATGTTAAAGAGAAACAATCCTCGGAAATTTTTTAACAAATAACCATAATTGATTGTTATTTTGACAAAAAGAAGATAATGATATAGATAACAAAGTATATATATGAATGTTAGATAGCGAAAGAATGCAATTTTATATAAAAAGTATCAAACAAAAAAAAGTAATAATAAATATACACGGATTTTCTAAGAAAAGTAAAGAATATATATAGAGTTATAAAGACATGAAAGTTTAAGCAAATAAATAAAAAACTGCTTGTGCAAAATAAAGATGAGCGGTGACTCTAGGGTTTTGGGTTCTGAAGGGCAAGATGCAACCATGGTTGACGTTGGAGGGAGCGGGAGACCTCCAAGGGATCCACCGGATGAGCCTGGTTCGTGGGTGAAGAAAGTGGTGGGCACGAGTGGTGGAGGCATGCCGGTTCCGGAGAGAGTGTTGGATGACGAGTTTGTCTCATCGAGGATGCGGGTAGAGTTCCCGAATGGAGAAGAGGGTGAGCCCATAATCACGACTGAGAGGGAGGTGTTGGAAGCAATGAATGGTTTGTGGAAGCAGTGCATGATTGTTAAGGTGTTGGGTCGTCACGTATCGATTTCTAACTTGAGAAGGAAGTTAAGGGAGTTGTGGAAACCGAGAGGAACGATGTATGTGTTGGATCTTCCTCATCAGTTTTTTATGATACAGTTTGAATTGGAAGAAGAGTATTTTGCGGCTCTAACAGGAGGTCCTTGGAGAGTGTTTGGCAGGTACCTTATGGTACAAGCATGGTCTTCGGAGTTTGATCCGCTAAGAGATGACATTGTAACTACACCAGTTTGGGTGAGACTGTCAAATGTTCCGATTAACTTTTATCACCGGTCGATTCTCATGGGGATAGCTCGGGGGTTGGGGAGGCCACTCCGTGTTGATGAGACAAACTTGAAGTTTGAAAGAGCTAGATTCGCAAGAATTTACGTAGAGGTGAATTTAGCGAAGCCACTAAAGGGAACACTTATGATTAATGGAGATAGATATTTTGTGGCGTATGAGGGGCTATCGCAGATTTGTTCGAAATGTGGATTGTATGGTCATCTTGTTCACTCATGTCCCCAAGGGGTTCTAGTGCAGACAGCGACTGTGGAGGTTTCTAGGGCAGAAGAAGTCAACCCAAACACGGCATTAGTGACAAGGCAGGAGAAGCCGGTGGAAGATGGATTTACAATGGTAAGGAGATTGGGGAGGAAAGGGACACTAACGGTGAGTCCGACTCAGTCAACAGCGGGTGGGTCAGGAGGTAATTTGGGAAGGAATCTCCGAGAAATCCCGAAGATTATGGCTCGGGATAATATTGCGATATCAAATCGTTTTGGTAACTTGGAAACAGATATGATCTCTGCGGAGTTAAGGGAAGTAGTTATTGTGGATGAGGCAAATAAGGAAAACAAGCTTATTTCGCAGAGGCAGAGAAAAGGAAAGAGTGTGTGCCAAGGCAAAGATGGGTTGGTCGCAGGGGAAGAGGAGATAAGAAAGGTGGGTTTTAAGAGTGGGCCTAAGGAGAAACGGGCTGGCAGTCTTAAGCCCAATGATCACAATCGAATGTAAGCCAAACAAAACCTGAATAGGCCCACAAGAGGATTGGTGTTTGGCCCAATTGGAGGTGATGGGGGTTTGTCTGAATCGGGAAAACGCCTAAGTGTGGAGAATGTAAACGCGGGAAGAGAAGGAGGAGCTTTCTCTCAGAGCAGTATTGGGGATATGGAGATTGTGACCGTGTCGGAAAGTAATAATACGGATGTGGAGAATGTATTACCTGAGGCTAAGATGTAACAGAGGGAAAGAGAACCGAGATTGCAGAGTGACGGGAAGGGAGCTTCTACGGGGACGCTAGGAGCATAGCAGGGTGCCCCGGTAGTTCGATTGTTTTTAACAGATAATCCAATGAAAGATTGCTTATTGTGGAATTGTCGGGGAGCAAATAAACCCAATTTCCGGAGATCAATTCGATATATGTTTAAGAAGTTTAAGATTGATATCGTTGCCCTGTTTGAGACTCATGCGAGAGGAGACATAGCAAGGAGCATTTGTTAGGGTCTAGGACTTCAGCATTCGTTTCGAATAGATGCAGTGGGTCACAGTGGTGGACTATGGCTCTTGTGGAGAACAGAACTTGGTGAGGTTTCGATTAGAGAGTCGTCAGATCGGTTTATCCACGCTAGGATTATTAACGGCTTAGATATAATCCATTTGATTGCGGTTTACGCTGCCCCAACTTTGAGTCAGAGAAGCGGTTTATGGGAGCAGCTAAATCAGATAATTCAAAGGGTTCAAGAACCGCTAATGGTTGGTGGTGACTTTAACACTATTGTTCGGTTGGATGAGAGGAATGGCGGGAATGGGAGACTCACCGGATTCGTTAGCTTTTGGAGATTGGATCAATGAATCTTGCCTAGTGGATATGGGATTTAAGGGAAACAAATTCACATGGCGGAGAGGGCGTGTGGAGAGCACCTATGTTGCGAAGAGACTTGACAGAGTGATTTGTTGTGGTCAAGCGCGGTTAAAGTGGCATGAAGCTGTGGTTTAACATCTACCATTTCTGTCTTCGGACCATGCTTCCCTCTACATAAGACTGTGTCCGGAGGCAGTAGGAAATCCGAATAGACGTTCATTTAGATTTGAAGCAGCTTGGTTAAAACATAAAGGTTTTAAAGAGTTGTTATCAACATCATGGAATGCTAATTTGGATACTTCGGAGGCTCTGAAGCGGCTGAAACGGGTTTTAAAGAAATGGAACAATGAGGTGTTTGGAGATATTCAAAAACGTAAGGAGAAGTTGATGAATGATATCAAGGTGGTCCAAGATATAATAGAGATAAATATGACGGATGCATTGTTAAGCAAGGAGGAGGAGCAAATTAAGGAATTTGATATAGTTCTCGAGCAAGAAGAGATCTTGTGGTTCCAAAAGTCAAGGGAAAAATGGATAGCATTAGGCGACCGGAATACCAAATACTTTCACACGTCCACCATTATCCGTAGAAGCAGAAACAAGATAGAAATGTTGAAGGATGATGGAGGAAGATGGATTTCACAGCCGCATGAACTTGAGGAATCGACCATTAATTATTATCAACGGCTCTATTCCCTGGATGATGTGGATCCGATAGTAGAGACATTACCACAAGAAGGGTTTGTGGTATTATCTCGGGAAGATTTGATGAGTTTGAACAGGCCATTCTTGGCAAAGGATGTTGAAGAATCGGTAAGAAGTATGGGTAAATATAAAGCACTGGGACTGGATGGCTACCAGCCTCTGTTCTACCAAGACTGTTGGGACGTGGTGGGACAATCAGTTGTTCAATTTGTCTTAAATTTTTTTGAAACAGGTTCTTTAAAGAGTGGACTGAATGATGCTCTCGTTGTATTAATCCCGAAAATTGCAAAACCAGATCGAATGGAGCAGTTCCGTCCAATAAGTCTGTGTAATGTTCTTTTTAAGACAATTACAAAGACATTGGTAATGAGGTTAAAGAAGATAATGCCAAAGCTTATTGGCCCTGCACAAGCGAGTTTTATACCGGGGAGGTTGAGCACGGATAATATAGTAGTTGTCCAGGAAGCCGTTCACTCAATGCGGAGGAAACAGGGCAATAAAGGATGGGTGCTACTTAAATTGGATTTGGAGAAGGCTTATGACCGAATACGTTGGGACTTCTTGGAAGACACACTTCACGCAGCGGGGTTACCGGAGATTTGGATTGGATAGATTATGAAATGTGTTATGAACCCGGAGATGAGCTTGTTATGGAATGGAGAGAAGACGGATGCTTTAAAAACCCCAACGGGGCCTCAGGCAGGGAGATCCATTATCTCCATACTTATTTGTAATGTGTATGGAGCGGTTGTGTCATCTTTTAGAGAAGTCGATTGAGCAGAAAGAGTGGAAGCCAATAAGTTTATCTCAAGGGGGACCGAAGCTCTCGCATATATGCTTTGCGGATGATTTAATTCTCTTTGCAGAAGCGTCCGTGGGGCAGATACGGGTGATTAGACGAGTGTTAGAAAGCTTTTGCAAGGCTTCGGGTCAGAAAGTTAGCCTCGAAAAATCAAAAATCTTTTTTTCAATGAATGTTCCTAGAGACTTGGAGAGGTCAATCAGCACGGAGAGTGGGATTGGGTGTACTAAGGAACTGGGCAAATATTTGGGTATGCCTATTTTGCAGAAAAGGATAAATAAAGACACTTTTGGAGAGGTCCTTGAGAAGGTGTCTTCAAGGTTAGCGGGCTGGAAAGAAAGATTTTTGACCTTTGCGGGTAGCGTAACTCTAACCAAGGCAGTTCTTACTTCAATTCCCGTACACACGATGAGCACCATTGCTCTGCTGAAAGCTAATCTGAACCAGTTGGATAAGATATCAAGATCGTTCCTTTGGGGAGATGGCACAGATCAGAGTAGACTTCATTTGATTTCATGGGACAGAATATGCTTACCAAAGAGAGAAGGAGGGTTAGGCATCCGGCGGTCCGATGAGATGAATAAAGCTTTATTATCGAAAGTGGGGTGGCGGTTGATACATGATCACATAAGTCTTTGGGCTAAGGTGCTTCGGAGCAAATATAAAATTCATGGATTTTATCTAAAGGGACTTGGTCATCAACGTAGAGGAGTGTTGTAACGGGCCTAAAAGAAGTGATTTTAGCTGGTATGAGTTGGGTGATAGGAGATGGATGGCTCATATGATTTTGGAGGGATAAATGGTTAGTCGATAAACCTTTATCAGAGCTGGCAACATGTGAAATACCCAAGACTGTTCTTAACATGTGTGTTCGGGAGCTTTGGAACAATGGCAGGGGATGGAATATGTCACAAATAGGCCTGTATGTATCAGAAAACATCAAATTATGGCTCCGAGCTGTAGTGTTGGATGATGTAACGGGAGCCAAGGACAGAGTATCATGGGGTGAAAGCAGTGAGGGGAGGTTTTCAGTGAAGTGGCATATACATTTATTACATGTGATAGCTCTCCGAAACAAGATATGCAGCAGTTCTTTAACCGTGTATGGCAAGTCACAGCACCAGGAAGGGTCAGATTGTTCCTTTGGCTAGTCGTGAATCAAGTTATCATGACTATCATGGAGAGGCAGAGGAGACACTTGAGTGCCACAGGAGTGTGTCAGGTTTGTCGAGGAGGGAATGAAACCATTCTTAATGTTCTCCGTGATTGTCCCGCGATGGAGGGAATATGGCGACGTATTGTACCGGTGAGGCTGCAACGGTCCTTCTTCTCATCATCAGTCCTTGAATGGGTCTTCGGTAACTTGGGCAGAGTAGGAGAGATTGATGGTATGATGTGGACCATGACATTTGCAATGGCGGTCTGGTGGGGGTGGAAATGGCGTTGTGGGAACGTCTTCAGAGGGACAGGCCATTTTCGGGATCGTGTGCGCTTTATTAAGGAGTTAAGTAAGGAGGTGACTCAAGCATACTTGAAGATCGGAGAACAAGTGCAGCTTGTAAACCGTGTAGAGAGACAAATATGATTGCTCGAGTAATTACCCGATACACTTAACCACAAGGCAGTTTATACGGGGTCGATCCACAAGGACCAAAGATACTCTAAGGATTTCCGAGACTCGTTCTTAACTAAAGCGAAGAGTGTTTTGTTTGGGTTTTCAGATCGTAAAATAAAAATGCAAATAAATTAAACGATTTAACTTCAAGATTTAAAGACATTGGGCATTAGGGTATTTCAGAGATCAATAAACAACGGAAACATGAGACAAGGAATTCAATAGTTACGAACCGTTCTCGAACATGAACACAACTAGACTAATTCTCTTTTAAGACATTAATCACTAAATTTAACTACTCGATTACTAAACTTTCGCATGTAATTTCCTAGTCAAATTCGCATTAGCAAACAAGTTCATTAAGTTCACAATGCGTCCTAACGTCAACTTTCATTGGCTAGGAATACATTGCTCAATTTATATTCTTTCAGGCATTCTATAGAACACTTTTGATGCATAGAAAAACCTATAATCTACAACAGGGTGATCAATCCTATTCTAGCATTAAGAACATGTGAATCAAAGAACCTAGAGAATGAGAATTCCTAACAACAATCAATCCATTAATCCATTAAATCTCCTAATTAGAACCCTAAAACCCAATAGGATAACTACTCATACATAGAAAAAGAGATAACAAAAATCAATGAAGAAAACATGATGAAATTGTAGAAATAACAAGAAAGGATTTAGAAATCTTCTCTAAGTGTCAAGAGGATAGATTCCTTTGCCCAAAGTTGTATACAAACCAAAGAACCAAGTTTAGAACTGAAAAATATCAAAGATAATGTCTCAAAAGTCGAGCTTAGGGTTTTAAAACAATAGGAGACGAGCCGGGTCGGATCTGGAGTGATTCGGGTCAAATCTGGGCCAAAAATACGTCTGGGGAACGGATCGATCGATCCCCACATGGGATCGATCGATCCCGAGCTGGCGGATGATTTTTCTTCGACGGACAAGAGTTGGATCGATCGATCCCCTCCTGGGATCGATCGATCCCAAAGCTCCTGGGGTCAAGCTCTGCACCTGCTTCAAATGCTCGCCAGATTGACCTGTCTTCACTAATTCGGGTGTACCTCTTGGATGCACCGTTAGATTTCCGTCAAACTACTTGGAAAATCAAGCTAACATCTTCATCTACCTTGTGTCAAAAATTCAGAAAGATCTAAATGTGGGAAGTCTTCCATCTGAGGCCAAACGTCTGACACTTCTAAACGAAACTGCATCTCCAAATGTGTGTTTATATCCCGAAACAGCTCGTTTTCTTCCAAAGCACCTAAAACCTGTAAAGACTCGATAAAAGACTAAAAGACTCTAAAAACACAGTTTGACTCTATAAAACGGAAAAACGGTCTATTTCCCCCCGAGAACTATCGTATCTGGCCAGATAAAGCCCGATCTTTGACCTCTGTCTATATACCCATGAAACGGAAGTTAAATGTTTATTTCCAAACCAATTGAAAGTTCGAGAGCTTAATGTCCATAAATCCTGGTTTCGTCGGTTTAGTACGTAAACCCGAGACGGAACCATGTTTTGGTCGTAACTTAACCAAAAAAAAACCGATTCCTTATCAAAACCCACCCATTGTCATTGTCATCCCTAAAATCAAAATCCCCAAATTCAAATTAAGAACCCTAAAAAATCTGAACTCTCAATTTTCGAATTGAAAACCAGATTTCCAGTTTAGGCGTACATCGTTGCAAACAGGCGGTGTGAAATCGTTAATCGGGTCTTTACATGGAGTTGCTTCAATGGAGAAAGACAACAAAACCAAGAATGGTTTAGATGTAGGAGAAGAATCAGATAGAGAGAAAGGAATGAAATTACATATTCATATTCCTGATGGTTTACCAAAATCTGAACAAGAATTGGAGGAAGAAGAGAAATCGAAAATGCCGGATTCCGCTTTCACTAGATTGCTTAGAACTAAAGGAACTATCCCTGCTTGGTTCTCTCATGCTCCGGATCACGAAGCAGCCCTTGGGTATTTTCCAATGTTTTGTTCTAAGCCATGACTAAACCTCCATTTTCTTTCTCGCCCTTTGGCTGCATCCTCTTTTTCTTTTCTTTCTTCTTCTTCTTCTCTTCCATTTTCGAGAAGTTGAGCCTAATCTTAAGTTCATTGACGTCAGATACAATGATTTTGAAGGTCAGGTCCCTCCTGAGCTTTTCAAGAAGGATCTCGATGCCATTTTCTTGAACAACAACAGATTCACATCTACCATTCCTGATTCCCTCGGAGAATCCCCAGCCTCCGTTGTGACCTTTGCTCACAACAAATTCAGCGGTTGTATCCCTAGAAGTATTGGAAACATGAAGAATCTCAACGAGATTATCTTTAAGGACAACAGTCTTGGCGGTTGTTTCCCATCAGAGATCGGGAAGCTAGCTAATGTGAACGTGTTTGACGCTAGCCTGAACTCCTTCACCGGTGTTCTACCCCCAAGCTTTGTCGGGCTTACCAGTTTAGAAGTGTTTGATATCTCTGGGAATAAACTCACTGGGTTCATGCCAGAGAATATCTGCAAGTTGCCTAAATTGGTTAACTTGACGTACGCCTACAATACTTCAACAAGATCAGGGTCGTGAAGGACTAACGACATCGATCAAATTCGGGGGAAAAAGTGATTTGGGGATTCTAGGGTTCGTAGAGAGCAATTTGGGGATTTTCGATTTTTGGTTTTGATGTGTTTTTTTGGGTAATGGGTCATAAACGGGTTGTAATTTGGGTTTAGATTGGTTCTAATTAGGTTTAATTGGTTAAAGCATCGGTTTGGTATACATTAAACCAATTAAACCCAGCGCTATGGGGTTTCAAATCTCGAACTTAGGATTCATGGACATTAAGCTCTCGAACTTTCAATTGGTGTGGAAATAAACATTTAACTTCCGTTTCATGGGTATATAGATAGAGGTCAAAGATCGGGCTTTATCTGGCCAGATACGATAGTTCTCGGAGGGAAATAGACCGTTTTTCCCTATAAAACATATGATGTAGGAAAGAAAACAAAGACTCAAAACCGATAAAAACATAACATATCAAAATAGCCTGGACGCTACCGGCGGAGGGATGGTTCAAGCTTAACACCGATGGTGCTTCACATGGAAATCCCGGGTTGGCGACCGCTGGTGGAGTGTTGAGAGACGAAGAAGGTAATTGGTGTTCGGGTTTCTCTCTAAATATTGGATTTTGCTCGGCACCGTTGGTGGAACTATGGGGTGCATATTACGGATTATATATTGCATGGGAACGTCGTGCGACTCGTTTGGAGTTGGAAGTGGATTCTGAGATCGTTGTTGGTTTTTTGACATCGGGGATTAGTGATTCTCACTCGTTGTCCTTCCTAGTACATCTGTGCTACGGCTTTTTATCAAGGGACTTGATAGTCCGGGTTACGCATGTGTATAGGGAGGCTAATCGTCTAGCGGATGGATTAGCTAACTATGCATTCTCTTTACCATTAGGCTTTCATTTGTTTGCTTCGATTCCGGATGAGATTCGTCTAATCTGGTTAGATGATGTTAACAGGTTTTCACGCCCTAGACTTGTTCGGTTGTAGTTCTTTTAATTTTATTTAATAAACTATGGGAGACATTGTCTCCCTCTTCACACCAAAAAAAAAAAAAAAACTGCTTGTAAAAGACACCATTTTTGGATTGAATATTTTGTGACGAAAAAACACGTAAGAAACATGGTAAAAAGATACAACTCTAAATGAACAGATATAACTTTAATTAATGCTCACAAAAATCTTTTATAAAGAGTAAATATTGTAACATTTCATCAATATAACAAAATTGTAATAGTTCACCAAATAAACTAAATGTTGCAACAGTTCATTAAATAAACCAAATGTTGCAATGGTTCATTACATAAACCAAATGTTACAATGGTTGGTCAAATAAGTCGAAATGTCCATTCGTTCGTCTAATAAATCAAATGTTACTATGTTGAATAAAACGGTAACAACAATTCATTTAAATATATTTTAGTAATTAAAATTTTAATTTTTTTTATGAAGAACTATAACCGAAAGACGTGACCGTAGATATCAATTATACTAAAAATTGTTACGATTCGTCAAATATACTAAATTGTGCAACTGTTCGTCAAATAAACTAAACATTACAACGATTCATAAACAAAACCAAAAGTTGTAATGATTCATCAAATAAACTAAATGTTGTAATGAATCATTAAATAAACCAAATATTGCAATAGTTTAATTAACCGGTTACATTTTAATTTAAATACATTAGTAAAGAAAATAAAAAATAATAATTTATAAAAAGTTAACTGAGAAACACGACTTAGATAAATTAAATGTTACAACGATTTATAAAATAAACAAAAAAATATAATTGTTCGTAAAATAAACTAAATGTTGCAATAGTTTTATGAAGAATTATGATAAATACACGTAATCGTAGAAGACATGTATCCAGTGCAACTTTATTAGAAAACATAACCGCAAAATATATTTTTAATTGAATTTTTTTTAACGAAAAGGTAGGATAAAATGACAGAACATAAATGCAAAAAATATTTATTAGAATTGTTATTAATTTATTATTATATTGATTATTTTTTGCTGTTCATATGGTTTTCTCTTGTACTCTCGATCTTCCAACTTTGTTGAACGGGTCCGACGATCTCCTTCTTCTCCCTTCATCCCTCTCTCTATCTCAGAAATTATTCTATCCCAGAGATGCTTCGTTGGGCCCATTTAACGGCAGGGATTCTCTCCGTTGTCGTCCTCTCTTCTCTCCTCGTAGTCTTCCTCCGTCGCTGGTGCTGTCTCCGCCGATCAGAGATCACCACAACCGCAGCCAGTCCCATTCGGAGCAATAGCTTCCAGGCTAGAATCTCAAAGCTCCACCAGACGAGCCTCATCCACCAGCTAGATACCTCCGACATCAAGCGCAGAGGAAATATTAAAAACTATTCAATCTCCAGAAGCGCCACTACTGGAGGATTCCCGTCGAAACCTGGCCTATTCATCTGGACGGATCACCCGGCTTTGGTGACCGAAGCAGTGGATAATGGGTGGGCAAGGTTCGGATTCGCTCTCCATGAACCTGCTCCTTTGGTGACCGGGACCTCGCCAGGGTCGGTTCTTCTAGGGCTTTGCACGACGGCAGGAAGCGAAGATCCTGGTGTTGTAATCACATGGGAAGTGTCAAACGGCTCTGTTGATTTCACACAGACGATCAAGTTTAATCAATCGTTCAAGGAGACGGTCAACGCAATAAAACCCTTGATGGTTCTCCGAGGAGCATTACCACTTCCCGGACCACAACTCGTAAGTTCTGCTTTCCCACAAGAGGCTTACTTTGAAATTACAATCCTTGAAATCACCCAACGCCACCACGGTGAGGGTGGTGACGTAAGTTGTGAATTAGTGGAAGGTGAAAAAACTAAGTTGTTCAAGAGCCAAGGACTAAAACTTGTCCAAAGAAGAGAATGGGATGGAGAAAACGAAGAAGCCGTTTTGTCTCTAGGACTAGCGACTGGTGGTTCCTTCGGTGCCGCCGGCGAAATACGACTACCAGGAAAATTCCCGGCTTCTATTGGGTTCCAATCGAACGGTGCTATCTATCTCGATGGTACGTACTTATTTTTCTATTTGCATCATTTAGTTTCATGATCTTCAAACTTGTTACTTTAGGAGGAAGAAAAATCAGTTTTACGGAGAAAAGCTTTAGCAAAAAAAGTAAACGGTAAAATATACTCCCTCTGTTTTTAAAAGTTGTCGTTTTAACTGTATTTAGACAAATTAAGAAAATGTATACAATGACTATATTAACCTCATAAAAATGACAAGTAATTATTTACAAATAATTTGTGTTCAATAAAATGAGGATAATTTGGGTAGTTATTGGCATAAATTACATTATTACCTTAAAACGACAACTAATTTAAAACAAAAAAAAGCTCTAAAACGATAACTATTCAAAAACGGAGGGAGTATAAAAGTTGGCCGTCCTTTGAGAATTTTTATTTTTGGTAATGAGAAATGGAGACCCACTTAGGAATATAACGTCGTGGTCACAAACCAACCTTCCACATCATCTAGAAGCCCCAATTCTGATCACACGTCATTGCTTCTGTTGACCAAAGACAAACAAGGCAAACAACTCTATTTATCAATTAGAATATGATCTCGGCTCTGCGTTGACTTTGCTTTACTGATTTTTCATTTTTGTTTTTTTGGGTAATGACGCTGTACTGATAATAAAAAATATAATGATAAAAACCTATGCAATTAGTGTTTTTCCCTTGTTAAAAAATACATTTTCTTTCCTGTCATGTTTGATAGTTACAAAAATAGTTTAATATCCTATATTTAGAACTGAAAAAAAGTTTTTTAATTTTACTTTCACCAACACAGTAAAACTGTAAAACGAGTTGATTTGATAAGTTGAATTACATAAGCTAAAAAATCATAGTTAATTTTTTTCTGATGTTAAAGACAAATATAGCTTCATCGATCCTGTCTTATAAATTGGGTAAAAATGATTCTATTTCCGAACTGTTTAAATATTATATATTTTTTCCCTTCATAGTCTTTACAAAATTTAGTGGAGTTAAGTCCTATATATATAGAATCTTAAGTATTACTCTTTTTTTTTTTATGTTTAGGAATGAAGCTGGTTTGTGAATCGGAGAAACATGAGTGGGCGAAGGAAAACAAAGTGGTTGGTTGTGGTTACGATCCCAGGAAGAAGAAGGTTTACTTCACAGTCAACTCACACTTGGTTCACGTCATTAACTGTAAAGCAGACGAGTTTGGGACACCTCTCTACCCCACCCTTGCTTCCAACACAGAGGCCACAGTTCTTGTCAACTTGGGGCAATCTCCATTTTATTACGGCCCGGCAAACGGGCAGCGCACATCCAACCCATGTGCTGGTGCTGTAGCCGGGCTCGAGGACAGCAAAGAACTCTTCTCCATTGGAAGAATAGATTCTCACTATTTGAGCAATTTTTTCATTAACAGAGGAAATAGTGACGAGATTGCAAGCGGGAGGACCACCGTGGGAAATAGTCATAGACGTAAGCTTGACTATGACGAAGAATCAGATGCTGATCTTTTCGAGATTGCGCTTGAACGGTCTGGAAAACTAAATCCATCCAAGTTATAGCATTTTAAATGAAGAACATGATCCTCATACATTATATGCTTATTGTACAAATAACTAGAGACTCCAAGTCATTGATAATCAACACTTGAACATAGAATTCTTCCTACTCTGTTGATCATGAATAATGTTTGAGATTTTTTTTTGTGTAAATCTTTACATTTAGGAAACTAATCATATCATGGCTATCACAGAATTCTGGTTTGTTCGTGCGTTCGCTTACATCATTTCTTTTAGACATAGCGGGTGGAGTCCCCCTTTGTCTAATGACTGATTGCGAGCTTGCTTTCTAGAGCGTGGATTTCCCTAAGAAACTAAGCCTCAGCCCTCACTTGTCTTTAATCAAATGACCATCCAAGCGAATATTTTATCAAAAACAAGCTTATAAGCCTTGAATCCGTGTAATACTGCATAAACCTTGGCTTCCAATCTTATATCACTTTGAA